CCCCCCCCATTTTATATATTCTTTATCCAGTGTTTTTCCCATTGAAACATTCCATTTTTCCTCACCAATGAGACCCTTCACTTTTATTCAAACTGCATAAAATAATCTTGCAATTTGATAATATAAGAATATTCTATTTAATTATAGAAGGAGAAATATTACTTCCATGATTTTCAATCTGACACAATGAAAAGCATAATTGTTTCATTTTATTTTACTCACCTGGTCAGTACTAGCTCCATCACTTAAGAGCCTGGTGATATTGGTCATTACTCAATCTCTGCATATTGCGGCCTCCTTATCTGTACCATGTATCAACAGAGCAAGAGTTCTGAAAATTAGAGATAAAAATAAAATCAATATATTAAGTCCTCACTATTTATTAGTCATTACTATTATTGCTATTACTGTCACCAGTGTTGTTTTATTGAAGACTGTTGACCTACTTTGGATTTGCTGCAGATCCCCAGAGTAGGGATATTACAACAGAGAGAGCCTGGCTGAGGGAATAAGGCAGGTGGCAGGTTCTAGAGATGAACTGCCTGACCTCAAACCCAACTCTGCCACTTATGGATGGGGAAGTCTTGAGTCAATTATAGAACTTCTCGAAGCCTCAGTGTTCTAGGCTTCAAAAGAAGGCTAGTAACAGTACCTACTTTACTGGGTTTAGTACAGAAAATTTCTTTAGTGCCAACCACTCAGTAAGTGCTCAATAAATAGTAGCTATTAGCACTTAAAATTTATTCTTCTTTACTATAAAAGCAACACAAGTTTATTCTAAAACTCAAAGAAGAGCTTTTTTAACTATAATAATACAAAAAATTCAATTTGTTTTACACAAAACGACTAAGTGTTTCTCAGTTTGCACAATCCCAGATAAGTAGTCTACACCGCAGAGTTAGCCAAAATCTTATGTAGCTTTCTCCTAGCACCTAGTGTGTTCCCAACTATCTAAATATTCCTTTCTCATTCTGAAATGATTATCTTACAGGAGAAAACCTCCATCATCTCCACAAAATCTGAACATCCTTTCTCCTTGTCCCAACTAAAAAAGCAAAATGCATGCAGACTCAAATGCAAAACTGTTGGTGCATTTTATTCTGTGGTCTGTGTTTGTAGTCCCAATTCTAGATACATCCACAGACTGTATAACATCTGGTGGGAAACCTTTCCAATAATCTAGGTCTTTGGCATCATGTTGAAAAATTGGATGATTGATTGTTCCTGCCATTTTTATAAATCCAGATGTTTAGATTTCCTGAAGGCCTGGCCCAAGTGTTGGTTTGTTCTTGGAAAGAGATTGCAGCCTGAGCATCATGAAATTCAGAGATTTATTTGATAAACCTACTCAGCAAAGGGCCCTGTATACTTAATCTCATAAATGCTACTTGATTTGTTATTCAACCAAACTGTTCATTGAAAGGCATTGAAAGGATTCTAAAGATGCTATACTCAGGAAGTGTATTAGCAACAGGGTACAAAAATGAATAAACAATCATTAAATGGCACTTACGCATTTTAGGTACAGACTCCAGACTTCCGTAGATTCACTTCATGGCCTGAAAAAGACGTAGTTAAGTTTATCTTATGGTTGAGTTGTGTTCTCAATGTCCTGTTGGTAGTTCAAATAAATTTACCCACTAGCAAAAGTTATAAAGGATGGTAAAGCTCCAAGGCCAGTCCACAAAAATCTACTTAACTGGCAGCAAAGCTGCATGTTATTAACCAATTCCCAGAGCTCTGCCTTCAGTCTCCTTGGTCCTGCTGTCCCAGGACTTTCAGAGACAGCATCCTGACCCCTAAACTACTCTAAGCTGAGGCTTTCCTAAGCTATAACCCCTGATCTCAGCAACTTCAGACCCTGAAGGGCTGACCAGCTGTGGAGAACAGGGCCTCAGGGAGGTTCTGTTGCTAGGCAGCCTCCACCTCAGGAAAGCAAGATTTAAAACATGTGGACACACCAGTAATATTTACTGCCTTAATTTTCCCTCCAGTTTATACTTCTCAGTATCTAATTTTATAACACCCAGTATTTCCCACTTTTAATGTCTTTCTAGTCTTATTTTTTTATTCTTAGTCTTTTAGTGGTCAATCTTTTAAAGACGAACCTGAGGAATTTTAATTTGCAATAATAAACCCACAGTGGTTCATAAATTTGGTTCCTCCTTCCCTAACACCAACAAATTGAGTCCTGGAATTACCAATAAATGACCAAAAATATGAAAAATGTTGGCAATTCAATGTGAATTAAAGAAAAAAAAATTAAGGAAACCTCACATATATTGAATGTCACATTATCTTGAAAATGTATGCATTGCATATCTTTATTTATTATTTTCTGGTTCATTCTCAGCTCAGGCATCTATTCCCAGAGCCTTCCCTTATCCCACCTCCATCTCCGGGTTTATTATGTGTCTCCTCTGTTTCTATACTTTTTTATGCCTCTCCGTGTAATTGCCTTTACCACATTGCATTCAAATGTCTATGTATAGACCTGTCTCTTCAATTAGACCACAACCTTCTTGAAGGCAAGAATTTTTACTTCTCTCTCCTCTTATCCCCAGCACTTAACACCTGTATATAGAAAGTGCTCAAAAAGCTTTTATGAATAAATTAGCCTCTATGAGGTACCAAACATTGTGATACATACTTTATAAATAACATAATCTATAAATATGTTAAAATTATAAGTATTATCACATTTAATTCCAGCAAAAACATTGTGAAATAGGTATGACAATTGCCAGTGTAATGGAGCAATAATCAAGCAATCAGAAAGGGTCAGAACTGGAACTGAAAGCCAGGGGGAAAGATCTCCAAAGCCCAGTGTCTACCACTGTTTCCCATTGCTTGTGTGAGCTATTGGCACTGCAGGATGATGCATTATTCACTTTTTTCCAAAATAAGCCCATCTACTTGTTCTCTTCCATTAATAGGTAACCAAGAATCAGTAAGGTTTGCTTGTAATTATCTTATCTTAGACATTACACTTAAGAGGCTAGTCAAGTGCACATTTTTCTATTGATGTCCAAGTGACAGGATTCACCATGTACCTTCAATATAATAGCTGAGAGATAACACCACCAGAAATCTCATGGGGCCCTTGAGTATGAGCTGCGTAGGCTATACATGAAAAACCCTGCCTTCTAAAATCTGGGTTTTATCAGCTGTTAAAAGGGTTTGGAGATAATGAAGATCCTTCTGGCCCTTGTGGGCACCATCATCATGAATTCATAGATGAAACAGAGTCTGCACACACATTTGGAAAACACCACTGGCTTGTATTCTCTGTAGTCTTACATTTTCCAGTCACAGATTCCAGGATCAAAGAAGAAGTCTGGAATAATCAATAACAACAGCTGGATAAGACAGAAAAGCAGAGCTCACTCATTTCCAAATGGCAACAAAATGATAAGGAGAACAAGTTTCAGGACCCCAGTGCCCTGTTCCAGAGAGTGACAAGATTAAAAAAGATAAGACATGGCTGCCAAGGAGAGGAATTACCTCAGAGAACTTGGAAGGTGACTCCAAGACACATGGTCAGAGCATGGGTTTCCAGTCAATTCTTTAGTCCAGATGCAAGATGAGGCCTGCCCTTGGGGAACATTGTGAAGGCTCTAGATTAGCATAGGAGTTTGAGACATCTGGAAAAAGTAGGGCAAAAATAAAGGCTGTTTCTTGGTGAAAAGAAAACCCAGCGTGATATGGGCTAAGGAAGGAGGGATTATTCAGTATATTTGAATCATGAGATCATTTTTAAGAAGGGATTCATCCATGTCTACCAATTTTAATTGAATTTTTACCTCCAGTACTATTTGTGGAATATTACAGCCCATTTTGGGATACATACGGAGGAAATCCATGTTCCCAGGTGATCTAGGGAATCTCATCCAAATAAAGATCCCCACCCTCTTACTCGGGTAATTCAAACTGGTGACAACTTCTCTGCTGGTGTATGTCCAGATTCAGCTTTCAGTCAAGGGAGCTGTTTCTGTCTAGTTCCCTTGCCCACAGTAAGCCTAAAACCTTGGCCCAACAAAGGAACTGGGAATTAGACTCCTCATGTAAACAAAAATCCTTTATCTAAAATCTGATTCTTTAGTGAAGAGGAAAATCTTTCCTTTAGTCCAATAGTAAAGTCACCCACTCCCTCTCTGTCCCTCCTTCCTTCTGTCTCTCCCTGCTTTGTTTTTTCTAAGTAATATTTTATAAGTGACAACAGGTTGCAGAAAACTGTGCTTAGCATTACCATATATCTACAGCTCAAGACAATAAATTCAAACAATAAAAGAGGATTTGTGACCACTGAGAAGAAACAGCAAAAAAAAAAAAAAAATCACCTAAAAAATGTAACAAGATGCAGATTTTGCTAAACTTTTTTGAAAGCCTTCTATGCTATACAGAGTGCTTATGTGGTGTGATAGTGATAACATCCTGAGTTGCAAATCATGGCAACCCAATCTAAACTAATACATGAAAGTCAAGGGAATTCATTAGAAAGCCTCTAAAGAGTGGCACCAAACCTAGAGGGAAGACTCAGGAATGGAGCTGGAAACAGGGTGTCCTTCTGACCCAGACGATTTTGTAGGGAACCAGAACAGGTCCTCTCTCTTCCAATCTGTTTTCCTGTTTATCTTCTTGATTCTTCTTTCTAACTGCAGACCTTCCTCTGCCCATAAGTTCACAGGACAGGCCATGGTCACCACTAGCCACTCAGTTTTTTTTGTTTTTTTGTTTTTGCCTTTTTTTTTTTTATTCTTATGTTAATCCCCATACATTACATCATTAGTTCTAAATGAAGTGTTCCATGATTCATTGTTCGTGCACAACACCCAGTGCTCCATGCAGAACGTGCCCTCCTCCATACCCACCACCAGGCCAACCCATCCTCCCACCCCCCTCCCCTCTAGAACCCTCAGTTTGTTTTTCAGAGTCCATCGTCTCTCATGGTTCGTCCACCCCTCCGATTTCCCCCGCTTCATTCCTCCCCTCCCGCTACCTTCTTCTTACTAGCCACTCAGTTTTATGCTCTGCTGTACAAGTACTCAGAGGGAGACATCTCTCTGGTCTCCCATTCTGTCTGTGTCCGTCTCTCTCCCATAGTTTCTATCTAGGCCTTAAATGAGTCACTGGATTAAGTAGTCCCAAATTAAGCTTGAAGATAGTGAATTGCCAATAATACAGCTTAACTGATTTCAGAAAAACATACGACAAAATTTTCATGCTGTCATTAAAGATAAGATGTTAAAAGAGGAAACAAGTGATAATACATTAAAACCACAGATTTTTCAGCACCGAAAAGTACAATGGTTTGCAAATCCATGACTGGAATAACAAAGACCTACAAAGAAACATGAGAACAGCAAGAAAACAAAAATATGACTAAATATATGTGCTGTGCGTGTGTGGCTGTTATGTGTGTGAGTTGGACCCTCTGGGATGCAGACAGAGATGAAATTAGGAGCACAGAAAGCCTGGGGCAGGATAAGGCTGTGACAAATGAAAGGAGGATGCAGGACCGGGCAGGTGGGCAAAGCTCAGATCACCATGTGGATCTGACCAAGTTTCACACAAACTAAAACGGCTGCTCCAGAGCAAAGATTGCCTGTTCGAGGAGGCCAGTGTTGGACAGGAATGGCCAGGCCCTAGTACACCTGTCATGCTCAGTTATCAGGGGGTTTCCAAAAAGTGCACAGCCCTGGCTGAAAAGCGGAGCTGGATCCTGAAGGCGTAACGGCAGGAAATGGTCTAACTGCACTCCCCCCCTTGCAGCTGAATAGCAAATTCCTTCTTGAAGAGAGATTTAAGTGGCACAACTCTACTTTAGCAGTACATAAAAGTAGAATGATAAGAAGGTGGATACAAGCCTGTATTCCCACCGGCAGAGAGCATGTTCATTTTTTTTCTTTTTTTGCACCTTTACCAACTCTGAATATTATGATATGTGGTTGTTTTTTTTTTAGATTTTCAAGTTTTCTGTACATATCATTAAAAAGATTGTTTTTAAAACAAACTGAGGGTTCTAGAGGGGAGGGGGGTGGGAGGATGGGTTG